CCCATCTTTGCATGAAACATTCCCTTCATATCTCCAATTTTCTTGAAGAGATCTCTGGTCCTCCCTATTCTATTGTTTTCTTCTATTTCTTTGCACTGTTCATTTAAGAGGGCATAGTTGTCTCTTCTTGCTATTCTATGGAATTCTGCATTCAATTGGGTGTATCTTTCCTTCTTGCCTTTCGCCTCCCTTCTTTCCTCAGCTATTTGTAAAGCTTCCTCAGACAGCCATTTTACTTTCTTGCATTTCTTTTTCTTTAGGATGGTTTTAGTTGCTACCTCTTGTACAATGTTGCGAACCTCTGTCCATAGTTCTTCAGGCACTCTGTCAATCAGATCTAATTCCTTAAATCTATTTGTCACCTCTACTGTATATTCATCAGGGATATGATTTAGGTCATACCTGAGTGGCCTAGTTTTTTCCCCTACATTCTTCAATTTAAACCTACATTTTGCAATGAGAAGCTCATGATCTGAGCCACAGTCAGCTCCTGGTCTAGTTTTTACTGACTGTATAGATCTTCTCCATCTTTGGCTACAGAGCACATAGTCTGATTTCTGTGTTGACCATCTGGTGATGTCCATGTGTAGAGTTTTCTCTTGGGTTGGAAAACAGTGTTTGCTATGACTATTGTATTCTCTTCACAAAATTCTACCAGCCTGTGGCCTGCTTCATTTTGTACTCCAAGGCCAAACTTGCCCGTTATTCCAGTTATCTTTTGGCTTCCTACTTTAGCATTCCAATCCCCAATGATGATAAGGACATCATTTTTGGTGTTAATTCTAGAAGGTGTTGTAGGCCTTCATAGAACCGGTCAACTTCAGCCTCTTCAGCACCAGCGGTTGGGGCAGAGACTTGGACTACTGTGATGCTGAATGGTTTGCCTTGGATTCGAACTGAGATCATTCTGTCATTTTGGAGATTGTATCCCAGTACTGCTTTTCCTATTCTTTTATTGACTATGAAGGCTAGTCCATTTCTTCTGACAGATTCTTGCCCGCAGTAGTATACCTTTTTTTATTTATTATTTTATTTATTAAAACATTTTTATGCCTGATGGCCGTCTGAATTAAATTCACCCATTCCTGCCCATTTTAATTCACTGATTCCTAAGATGTCGATGTTCAGTCTTGTCATCTCTTGTTAGACCACATCCAGCTTGCCTTGATTCATGGATCTTACATTCCAGGTTCCTATGGAGTATAGATCTTTACAGCATGGGATTTTTCTTTCATAACCAGATACATCTGCAACTGAGTGTCCTTTCGGCTTTGACCCAGTCGCTTCATTCTTTCAGGCGCTATTAGTGCTAGCCCTCCACTCTTCCCCAGTAGCATATTGGGCACCTTCCGACCTGAGGGGCTCATCTTCCGGCGTCATATCTTTTTTGCCTTTTGGTACTGTCCATGGGATTTTCATGGCAAAGATACTGGAGTGGGTTGCCATTTCCTTCTTCAGTGGCTTAATACACTTAATTGACTTAATACACCTTATTTATGACTAGTTTCAGTTATAAGGCCTTGATAATGCCAGAAACTCAGCCTAGTTCACAGTTAAAGATAAGAGACAAAGAGATTAGCAAAATAACCTATCAGTCAAGGAATTTGTAAATATCAGAGTAAGGTCTTCTGAGGTGCAGGCAGAAAGAGTTTCTGTATTGAGAGCAAAGTTTAATTAAGCCAGTCAGTTGTCCAGTAATTTAACAGATGTTCAACACTGAGGTTCAGTCAAGATAGTAAATTGGAAGTCCAGTCAAGGCCATAAGGCCAAGCAGTTAAAAAGAAAGTGTATAGTGTAGAACTTGAGTTAAATGTTGCTGTCAACAAGTTCCTCATCATCCTGGCTGACCTTTTATCCAGGTGCTGACTGGATATACCCATGGTTCCATTTGAAGCTGTTTACACCAGCCTGGCTTGTAATCTGGCATTCTACCCGAGAGGGAACACCTGTGCTCATATTTTCAAGTAGCAGCACTCTTAGGAGATGGGTAGATTCTTAAATCTCTGGTTCACATTCAAAATCTCCCTGGAGATAGGGAAGACTCCCCCATTAACCCCAGGATTCCTGCCTCCATTGTCTGTGTGTCTCCCTCCTGGATTACTGAGTGCCTCATCCTCAGGGGCTTGGGTGTCCCTGCAGTCAGGTGAGTTCTCAGATGAGGGCTCTTTGAATGGAAGTGTGATATTACCATTACCAATGAGTAAGAAAAGCATCCTAATCAGAGTAGAAGTTAAATACAGCAGGACCCCCATATCTGCTGGCTCAGTTACCACATTTGCAGTTAACTGCAGTTGACCTTGGCTGAAAGAAAAGTCATAAAGTGTTTTCTGTAAGTGAAAATTCTGGCTTTAAAAGAGAAAGTAGTCATGTGTTGAGGTCAGAATGAATGAAATTGTGAAAAAAGAAATGTACATAGCGTTCTCTGTTTCCACAATTTCAGGCATCTGCTGGTGGGGCTTGGAAATCATGCATGTGGTTATGGGAGTCCTCCTGTATGTCTATTAGGTGTGGGACTCACTTGAATAAAAAAATTGCAAACAAATGTGTCCATGTGCACAAACAAATATTATTGCTGTTTTGGTTTGGGGAGACATTTAGTACCTTTACTTGCATTTCATCTGTGTAATTTACCCGTGTCTGTAGGGTCTCAGATTTCTGAACCACATCTCTTGCCAGTGAGATCATTAAATGAAGTCTTTATTGGAGAGTCTCTCTCATCCAGGTATGCTAGACATCTCAAAAGCATTGTTTGGAATAGCCTGTAAACCATATACAATCAGACTCAATATGTTTTTGCTTCCCTACTTAATAATTTATGAAACTACATTTAGACTTAATTACAGGATCCAAAATCTATATTTCTTCCATATAAACATCTGTAAAAAGGTAGCAGAAGCCTCTTTTTTGTTTTAGTTTACTGTTTTTATGCTTCAAGATGCCTTGTTTGGATGTCCATATTTACTCTGAGTTTTCTAAAAGGAAGAATAAATCAGTTATTGTTTTAGTTTCTCACTTGTCAGTACCAATACTTGACATGCACAACAGTATATTACATTCTAGTTATAGTTCAGTCTATCACTGAGCTGGTTTTCAAGTGGCAACAGTAGCGTACTGTGGATCTGATAGGTACTCTTTGTAATATGATCAAAGATGGTCCTGTTAAAAGGAAGTATGGAAAAATTGTTCTTTCAGCACAGTGTATACATTTCTCTGTTCCTGTTTCATTTTGCAGAGTTGAAGTTGAGCTCACTGTTTTCCTTGACTCATAAGCAAAGGAGTGTAAGAGAGTAGGAGATTAGTTCTTTTCCTTGCTAGATGTAGTTTGAGTAGATGTACTCTTAATAGCAGAAATAGTGTTATCTCTTCCCTCTTATAACAGGCGTTGCTGAAGTTCTTTGAATAATGAATGGGCCCACAGGTTGTGAGAAAGGAACTGGAAGTATATGGATACAATTGACTGCTGAGCATAGGGTGGGGCTGCAAAAGGGCTGCTTGGTGAAGTGGTAGACTAGAGGATTGAAAAATGAAGGTCAGGTGAGCTAAACCAGGCAGGATATAATATATTTTTTACTAGAACACCTGAAACCCATCAAAGTAGCAATTTGGACCAGTGGTCATACACTAAGAATTAAGCAAGGAGGTCCTTTGAGCACATGATCAGCACAGGGGCTTGTAATCAATGTCAGAACCAACCCTACTGGCCCTTTCCTGCAAAGATCCACTCCCAGTTTTCTCTTAAGCATTGTTTTTCAGCTACCTGATTTATGTGCATGTATGCTGTATTGGATAATTGGGAGTCAAAGTTTGCTAATCTACTGCAAACCATTCAGAGATGTACTAGTAGGTTCTGATCTTCTTTCTGCCTACCCTTGGTCTAGAATCTATATTTAGTAAGATTTTACCTTGGAACATATGTGTGTATAAGCATGTATGTATATAATGTTGCAGTGGACATGAAATTATCCACTATAAATAAATGGTGTAATTGGTAAGTTAAGTGGTAAAGAGATCTATGCCCTAGATATGTGAACTGAAAGATTAAACAGGTGTGAGGCAGGGCAGTGGGGGACTTGCAGCTTAATCTCAAAATTTGTTTGCGATCTAATGGCACTAGAACTTCACATGCACGTAGGAAGAAATTATGAAAATGACTGAATGTGTTCATATTAAACAGTGGAAATTTTTATTAGCTTGTCCTGCTAACTACAAATAAGCTTACACCATTACCTTAGAAAATTCTAAAAGGCTTTCAAAATGGCTTGCTATCATACTGACAGTTTGCATTTTTGTAACCTGATTTAAAATGTATTAATCAAAAATAAATTTCAGCCTTTCAAAACTGCTGTTCTAAATTTAGTTGTAAAATTTTCTTAAAGGCCTTCAAAATGGCTTGCTATCATACTAACAGATTGCATTTTTGTAACCTAATTTAAAATGTATTAATCAAAAATAAATTTCAACCTTTCAAAACTGCTGTACTAAATTCAGTAGTGAAATTTTTAGCCATGTTTGAAATTGGCCCTTTTAGATTGGTACATACCTGATGTGGGGCTGTTGTTCTGTCTTATTCAGGGTGAACTATAAGTCCTGCAAACCCAGTTTTAAATTCTCCCTTCGTAGGGCCTCTTACTATGAAATATCAGTTGATGATGGTCCATGGGAGAAACAAAAGAGTTCTGGTCTCAATATATGTACTGGAACTGGATCAAAAGCTTGGTAAGTTTGGTGTGTTTCTAAAGCGTGCACTGTTTTCTCAGATTTTCAAAAGGAGTAATGGGTAATACATGTGTGGAGAAGAGAAAGAATGAGATCCAGACTAACTTAAATTCTACTGAATTCAATTACCCTTTGTGCAGTTTTTCTATTCTAAAAGGATGAAATGTCTCTTCTAAGGTTTTCTTGCTGGTAGTAAGTGCTTTAAGCTACTATGTGCCAGTATTGGTAGGACTTTGGGTCCACTCCTTTTGCCTTTGACTCTGCCCATCACTGGAACATGGTGCCTGAGAGCTCTGAAAATGAATTTGTCCCTCAGACTGAATGAGGTGAACATTCCTGCTCTAATGGGTGTGTTTAGCCAGTTGTGAGATTCACTGAGTTACAGCTTTCTTATATGCTCAGATGACTTAGTTGTGCTCCTCCTGCAGACCAAGAACCAATTTAAATGCTAACAAAAGGCATAATGTACTTCCACTGGAGCTGTGTCTCTTCAGAATTTAGGAAGGGGATGCTTGAATGCTCCCCATTATAGCACAAACTTCCTATATGTGGAAAGGTAACACACTATTGAAAGCAATAGCTGCTTAACCATCACTCTGCAGTGGAGCTTGATTGGCAAATATACTGTGGACAGAATTCTATGAATGTAGTGTGAGGATATTTAATAGGATAATGAAATGAACAAAATTTCTTTTTGGGCTGATGTTTTCTATTTTTACAGATACTTCAAGTTTAGGTTGCTTTTAATTCAGACATTGCAGTAAATGGCTAGATTGAAATGTTCGTGTTGCATTCAGTTGGTTTTGGTCAACCTGTGTTTAAATTTTATAAGTAATCTTATTCTACTGAATCATCTGAATAATGTTCAGTAATTAATATTTAATATAAACAGTTAAAACAGAATGCTGAAGGTGGGACGGGGAGCACTCAGCTGGAAGTGGTCAAAGTATTTAAGAAGTCCTTGCTTTGTTCTCTATTTTTAGGTCATTTAATATCAACAAGATAGCAAATCAGGCTGTGGAAGAAATCCTGAAGATTGGTGAGTTAGTAACATGTTATTAACACAAAGGAAAAAGATATTTTCAAAAGGCATCTAATTTGATTTTGAACCTGACACTTTTCAGAAATATTTCTTTCTTTGGGAATGAACAAGAATATAAGTACTTAAGCATATATGATATATGTATATGCTTAAAAACATTTCTGTTTTATTCTATGCATTTTTGTTAGTCGTCCCAAGACATTTGTAGTGGACAGGTTAGAAAAACTTTTAATATATATATAATAATAATAATAAATACAATATACAACCTTCAAAAGGCCTACAAGTTCAAAAATACCTTTCTTAAAATAATTTTATCCATGTTAAAAATAAGGCCAAGCAATTCTACCTGCCATGTTGGGAAGATCTAACTTCAAATAGATTGCTTCAACCAAAACCTTGCTCGACTTTGCACTAGCGGAGTGTGAGGAGTGCCATTTTACTCTTTTTCCACGTTGTTCAGTTTTTTTCTTGGAACAATATTTTGCAATTCTTCCCCTGGTACTAGGGATATATCAAAGGATCAGGAAAGGTTTGGACATAATGCCTTCTCTCTTCCTTCCATATTATGCTCCTGATCTACTCCCTTTATGCTTCTTCCAGTGCTAGTTCGTCTCTCCCCCAACACGTTGGAATTATAACCCAGGGTGTTATATTAATGGTTGATAATCCAAATTCTAATTAAAACTTATTTCAAACAAATTTTGCTACATCTCTCAAACATGTATGTGTTGACCTCTCCCTTCTGAGTTTTATCCAGTTGTGGTTTTTTCTGCTGTCAGAATGTGCTTAATAGCAGGAAGCTAATAACTTTTGCTCCTTCATGGATCACTGCCTTGTTGTGGCAAAGGGGCTTGCGTAGCTCAATGAAGCTATGAGCTATGCTATACAGGGCCACCCAAGATGGACAGGTCATAGCGGAGAGCTCTGACAAAACGTGATCCACTGGAGAAGGAAATGGTAACCCACTCCAGTCTCTTTGCCATGAAAACCCCATGGACAGTACCAAAAGGCAAAAAAGATATGACGCCGGAAGATGAGCTCCTCAGGTCAGAAGGTGTCCAATATGCTACTGGGGAAGAGCGGAGGGCTAGCACTAATAGCGTCTGAAAGAATGAAGCGACTGGGTCAAAGCCGAAAGGACACTCAGTTGCAGATGTATCTGGTTATGAAAGAAAAATCCCATGCTGTAAAGATCTATACTCCATAGAAACCTGGAATGTAAGATCCATGAATCAAGGCAAGCTGGATGTGGTCAAACAAGAGATGACAAGGCTGAACATCGACATCTTAGGAATCAGTGAATTAAAATGGATGAATTTAATTCAGACGGCCATCAGGTATACTACTGCGGGCAAGAATCCGTCAGAAGAAATGGACTAGCCTTCATAGTCAATAAAAGAATAGGAAAAGCAGTACTGGGATACAATCTCCAAAATGACAGAATGATCTCAGTTCGAATCCAAGGCAAACCATTCAGCATCACAGTAGTCCAAGTCTCTGCCCCAACCACTGGTGCTGAAGAGGCTGAAGTTGACCGGTTCTATGAAGGCCTACAACACCTTCTAGAATTAACACCAAAAATGATGTCCTTATCATCATGGGGGATTGGAATGCTAAAGTAGGAAGCCAAAAGATAACTGGAATAACGGGCAAGTTTGGCCTTGGAGTACAAAATGAAGCAGGCCACAGGCTGGTAGAATTTTGTGAAGAGAATACAATAGTCATAGCAAACACTGTTTTCCATCCCAAGAGAAAACTCTACACGTGGACATCACCAGATGGTCAACACAGAAATCAGACTGACTATGTGCTCTGTAGCTGAAGATGGAGAAGATCTATACAGTCAGTAAAAACTAGACCAGGAGCTGACTGAGGCTCAGATCATGAGCTTCTCATTGCAAAATTTAGGCTTAAATTGAAGAAAGTAGGGAAAAGCACTAGGCCACTCAGGTATGACCTAAATCATATCCCTGGTGAATATACAGTAGAGGTGACAAATAGATTTAAGGAATTAGATCTGATTGACAGAGTGCCTGAAGAACTACGGACATTGGTTCGCAACATTGTACAAGAGGTAGCAACTAAAACCATCTCAAAGAAAAAGAAATGCAAGAAAGCAAAATGGCTGTTTGAGGAAGCTTTACAAATAGCTGAGGAAAGAAGGGAAGGGAGAAAAGGAAAGATACACCCAATTGAATGCAGAATTCCAGAGAATAGCTAGAAGAGATAAGAATGCCTTCTTCAATGAACAGTGCAAAGAAATAGAAGAAAATTAGAGAATAGGGAGGACTAGAGATCGCTTCAAGAAAATTGGAGATATGAAGGGAATGTTTCATGCAAAGATGGGCATGATAAAGGACCAAAATGCGGGTGGAGGAGGAGAGTGCAAAAGTTGGCTTGAAACTCAACATTAAGAAAACTAAGATCATGGCATCCAGTCCTCTCACTTCCTGGCAAATAGATGGGGAAGAAATGGAGGTAGTAACAGATTTTATTTTCCTGGGCTCCAAGATCACCACGGAAGGGGACTGCAGCCAAGAAATTAAAAGATGCTTGCTCCTTGGAAGGAAAGCTATGGCAAATCTAGACAGCATACTAAAAAGCAGAGACATCACCCTGCCAACAAAAGTACGTATAGTCAAGGCTATGGTTTTCCCAGTTGCAATGTATGGCTGTGAAAGTTGGACCATAAGGAAGGCTGAGCACTGAAGAACTGAGGCCTTTGAATTGTGGTGCTGGAGGGGACTTCTACGAGTCCCTTGGACCTCAAGGCGATCATACCAGTCCTAGAGGAGATCAACCAGATGCTGAAGATGAAACTCAAATACTTTGGCAACCTAATGAGAAGGAAGGACTCCCTGGAGAAGAGCTTAATACTGGGAATAATTGAAGGCAAAAGAAGAAGGGGATGGCAGGGAATGAGGTGGCTAGATGGAATCACTGAAGCAGTTGGTGTGAGCTTAAGTGAACTCTGGAGGATGGTGGTGGACAGGAATGTCTGGAGGAATGTTGTCCATGGGGTCACAATGGGTCGGACATGACTTCATGACTAACAAGAACAATTTTTGGTGATTCTCTTTCTTTCTCCTCATGTCTCACATCTACCACCTTTAAAGATGACTGTATGAGTATGGTAAATACACCTAAATGAATGTAATACTTTGAATATTTTTATGTATTCCTCTGTATTTGACAAGTATTTCCAAACTTAGTTCTTTCTTCCATAAATTCCTTATGGGGTTCTGTTCCACCATGAATTTCTTTGGAAGTGTTGGAAAGTCCAAGTAAACAGGTTATGTTTGGCTTCCCTGATCTCTATATAATCAGAACTGTTTGTTGACTTACACTAAATATTGATCTTTGCTGCTCAGATTAGATGTTTACATCTTGGTCAGTTTTGCAATTTTCGTGCTTGCATCCTGTCCCCAAATGAGTCCATTGGATTTTCAACATGCTCGTAATACAGATATGATGCCTCCTACAATTAGAGCAGTAGGAGAAGTGTGATGCAGAGTTTCATGTCAATTAAAGTTTCGTTTATTTTTATGCACAAAATTAACTTTGTTTGGAGGATTTGAACACACTGGGTGATTTTTAGTTTGGATTGGTTTGCAAGTCCTGCTGATACCTTTCTTCCATTCTCTGCTTTACATGCAAAATACAATTTGCTAGCTATAGCCAAATGGCAAAATCTGCAATTGAAGCATCTTTTAGAAACTAGGTTTGGCCCTGAGGCTTTTTTCGCTTCAGAGCCTCCTTCGTTATTGGAAGTACTGATTAAGGCTGAACAGCTATACTGACTCACAATACATGTGTATAAATATTGATTATCACTAAATAAATTTTATGGTGTGTTTACTGCTCTCCCTCCCTATATATATTTAGAGAGAGAGAGAATATATAGAATATAAAGCAAGAATGGAATAATGAATTCTCTTGAAAAGTATCCTCTTTTGGCCATTCAACTGATTACTTTTTGGCATCTATCTCAGAAGGGGTAGTGGCACTTAAGTTACATTTCATTCAGAAAAAAGTGATGATTCAAGAATATTGGGTGCCATGACATCTTTTCAACAATGAGTTTTTCCAAATTGCAGGTGTAATCCAGTTCTCTTATTCATACATTTTGGCAATGCCCAATTTGCCTGTTTTTAGGAGAAAGTAATGTTGCTAAACCTTGTGTGGAAAGTTATTTACAAATGACACGTTTCTAGCTATCTAGGAACAGACACATGTTCCTAGTTATCTACCTGCCTGTTAGAACTTAATCCATGTTCAGTGTAAATGGATTCTCCATGCCTCTTTGACAGAAAGACTCATATTACAGCAGTGGAAGGGCAAATACCACCTAAAGTGGGTTGAGGACTTGAGGAACCTCTTGTATTTGAACAGGGATATCATCATCATCATCATCATCATCATCATCATCATCATCATCTCCTCTCTTTTTTATTCTTAAGAGGAACCCTATGTCTTTAAGCAATAATTTACAAATGAACAAATGCATGGATACCTGGGTTGCCTTTACTGAAATCTGTCCATAATTATCCCTAAAAATAATAGTGTTTGGGTTGGAATGAAATCTGTGGCAATCTGTCCTTCCAAGCATTTCTCATGTGCTTGGCCAGGTGGCACCAAGCAAATACCCTGCAGCCAGTCTTCTTTGGCATGAGGATCAGCTGCCCCAGCTGATCATGGCTTGTTAGTAGGTACTGGCAATAGTTGTGGGAACTGCTTTCCTGGAAGCCCTGACCAAACAAGCATTTTATATCCAACCTTCTTCAGTCTGAGGAGCAATTGAGCCTGATCCACCAGTGTGTGCTGCTTGTGGGACTTGATTTCTACAGAATGCCCTGTGAATGCAGGATGGATTCACCAGTAATTTGGACTGTGCTCTGGTAGTCTGATGGGTTCCCACCCCGAGACAGATTCCTTGCACATCCCTATATACTATATTTTGCTATACATAAAAATATACACTGTACATATATATTATATTCATTATAATAGAGTCACTCAAATTTTGTGTAAGAAAACCAATACTTTTATTATTTTTGGTTTTGATTTTGAAATAATAAAAATTAATTTAAAAAAAAACCTGTTTCAGTGAGGCCAACCCTCTGCAGTAGATTTGTGAGGGGCAAAGAAGACTGCAAGGAGGAGTTTCATCAAAAATTACATCCTTCTGAACAGACACAACCCAGAGAAACTAGAGGATAGGAGGCACTTGTTCAGGAGAGAGATGTTCTGGACATTAAAACTTGTTTAAATGAGGATTTGGATTATCAGCCCAGTGACTACACTTGGATATAAAACTCTGGCACCTACAGACTAATTCTGAAATGAAATGGATTCATAATGGATTGACTGACCTCTTATTTAGTGATAGTTTTAAATATGTTCAGTGGCAAAGCAATACATTAAATATTTCATACATTATTGAGATGTTCTTCACTAAGTTTGTTGAATGGCCTTTAGATCACAGGGATATTTGACATATAACCTACATGCATAATACTGCATTTGAAAAAATTCTGATGGGTGTAAATTTTATTGTGGTAGAAATAAAATAACACCCTCCGGTGCATATTTCATATGTGTGCTATGTACTTACAATTTTAACATATGTGAGATGGTGATTACCAAGATTTCCCTGTTTGTTAGGCATTTCAAAAACTTTTTATGTTGGTAATATAAAGTGCTTATGTTAATAACTTTTTGTGTTCCTGTTTGTAGATCAGCCCCTGAAAGAACTAAATCTTTCCAATACATAATGGGCTCAATTAAAATTAGGCAGCTTCTGAAAAATTCTTGTTTTTTGTGCCTTCCTTCCCTGACCCCTCCTAATTACCAAATGCAGAAGATGAGTGTATCTAATGGAAGGGGTGGGGGGTGTCTGTTTTTGTTTTTGGTTCAATAGCCAGACATTACAAGAATGTAAATCTTCCACTGAGCAAGGAACTAGTAGAAAAAGGTAAGATTTCTTTTTAGCATGTTTGACTTCCTAATACTGTAGTTGGTGAATTTTTCTGTGAGGTTTATTCCCATTTAACTTCTGATCAGTACTTCATTTTTAAAAAGATAATGAACATTATTTTATGTATTTATCTTGCAAGTTTTAAGTATTGATGGTTTTATTTGCTACTATACTCAATAGCCATTTTGATTAATAGTTAATTTTAAAATCTTCATGACTGAAGTGAATATAATGGATTCAGGCAAGTTTGGTTTCATAAGTTTGTGAATGTGCAGGTTTGTTATGATTTTGGGCTTTCTTTAGAATTTTCAAGATATAATTCCAGCCAGTTAACTATCTATGGCTGACATATCATACACAAAAGTTACCATAGGTCAATTCAATGTTGGTTGTGTGTTAATAGGAAATAGTAAGGAAATAATCTTCTGATTCATTTTTATTTTTATTAGCACTGTACCTTTAACACATCAAAGTAACTGGAATAAAATAAAATAAAAACAGGACATTTCTAAAGATTCTTAGACTCTTCTTATTCTTACTTTCTCCCACCCTTTCCTGAGAGATTGCAGGCTCAGAAAAGTGGAACAGTATGAGTCACCATATTCGTGGGGGTATATATTCCTAAGCTAATTTGCCTTTTCAAAAACCCAATTTTCAAACAAAGCCTGAGTTTTGACAGCTGTCGCTTGTGGCTTTGCTGTCCCTTGACAGTTGTCAAGAGACTGTAAAGTTAAAAAAAATCTATTTGCAGCTTCTCTGAGTCAATGTCCATGGGTGGTGCCTGCTGCCCTTTGACAACAGACATCTCCTAGGTCATTGCCCAGGTGAAACTCTCATTTTGAACCCCACAAATGCATACTTCCACACTTGCACAAATCCAACTTATTTTTAAAAAGAAATTGACAAAAACAATTGCATAAATTTCTTGTGCTTCTTAATACAAAGATTTTAAATACAGTTAAGAATTTAAAATAATGGAGATTCTTGGGAGAAAAAGGCACCAGAAAGTGTACAACAAAGGTGGCAGGTAAACCTCTCTGGAAAGTTCATAATATTCCTTTAGGAGAAGTGGGCTAGAACATTCTCATTAACTTTCCGAAAGATTCCAATAAAGCAAAGGCAGCTATATTTCCAAAATATCTAGGACATCTTTATTACATACAACTAAAAAGCCTATTCATTAAGAACACAACTGATTTGAGAACTTATTATTTAGTGTGCTATTTGTAGAATCTGATAGTCTAACATCTGTACTTACAGTAACAAATGAATACAATGAATCACTGCTGTATAGCCCAGAGGAACCCAAGATGTTTTTTAGTGTACGAGAACCTATTTCAAACCGTGTTTTTTCAAGTAGTCGTCAGCGGGGCTTTGCTTCAAAGTAAGTACTGAGTAATGGTGTCTGATTGAATTCATACCAAACATTGACAACTGTTTGTACGGTGATTGAAATTCTATGCATGTGACAGAGAAGATTTATATTTCATTTTACTAAAGCTGAAAAAGTTATATTTGCCAGTTTAATTGACATTGTTCTCCAATAAGCATCCAGATATTGCAGTTTTCTCATGAGGAGAAAAACATTGTTTTTAAAGTGAAATCTGGCCTTATAGCTTCAGTGTCACCTGGTACAATATATAGTCTGGAGTCAGTGTCTGGTTCCTTTTATGTTCTGTGTATCTCAGTGATATATTTGTTGTTTAGCATAGACATGTCCAACCCATCACAATCCCATGGACAACCTTCATTCTCTCCTGTCCTCCACCATCCCCTGGAGTCCACCTAAGCTTATAGCAACTGCTTCAGTGAGTCCATCTAGCCACCTCTGCTGTTCCCTTCTTTTGCCATCAGTTGTTCCCAGCATTAGGGTCTTCTCCAGTGAGTCCTTCCTTCTCATTAGGTGGCCAGAGTATTTGAGTTTCATCTTCAGTATCTGGCCTTCTAAAGAGCAGTCAGGATTGATCTCTAAGACTGACTGGTTTGATCTCCTTGCAGTCCAAGGGACTTGCAGGAGTCTCCTCCAGCACCACAATGCAAAGGCCTCAATTCTTTTGCACTCAGCCTTCCTTATGGTCCAGCTTTCACAGCCATACATTGCAACTGGGAAAACCATAGCCTTGACTATGCACACTTTTGTTGGCAGGGTGATATCTCTGCTTTTTAGTATGCTGTCTAGATTTGTCATAGCTTTCCTCCCCAGGAGCAAGCGTCTTTTAATTTCTTGGCT